GGAAACGAGATCGACAACCGCATCTCCAAGGCTTCTGCAGTTCTGCGGGAACTTTGGCGAACCGTGGTTACCAGGTCGGGAATTTGCTCGGGAAGCAAAACTCTCGGTTTTTAAGAGTGTTTATCTCCCTACCCTCACCTATGGTCATGAACTTTGGATGATGACCAAAAGCACCAGATCGCGAGTACAAGCTGCCGAAATGAGGTTCTTGCGTCGAGTGGCTGGCGTAACGCGCCGTGATTGGATGCGAAACTCTGCCATCCGCGAGAGTCTCCAAGTCGAGCAGCTGCTTCTCCGGACCGAGAGGTCTCAGGCCAGGTGGTTTGGTTACGTCTGCCGCATGCCCCCTGAAAGGCTCCCAAGAGGAGTCTTCCATGCCAAGATGACCGGCAAAAGACCTTTCGGTAGACCTCGTACAAGGTGGAGTGATTACGTCACTCGGCTTTGTCACGAGAGGCTCGGTATCCCACCAGCTGAGCTTGAGTCTGTTGCCCAGGATCGAGATCACTGGAGGACGCTCCTGGGAATGCTCGAACCGCGACCCCATTAAGTTAGGAAAAGCGGGCAAGAAAATGTATGTATGTTCGTATGTGTCCTTCCGTATTAAGGGATTGGAATTTGTCAACTTACATGCATTAATAGACGCAAAATTATCTTCGATTAGTCCTGAGTTGACGTCTTCAAAATGCGCATCAAGCCTCACATTAAAAAAAAGTAATAAATATACCTTTGTTGCCGCGTAGGTTGCCACGAATGGAAAAGGTGAGACGGCAGAAATGGACGATACATTGATGACAATCCCCTTTCCCTTCTCAACCATCCCAGGAAGGACCATGTGGGTCAACCGGATCATGGACAGATTGTTGACGAAGAGCATGTCCTGATACGCTTTCTCTCCCTCCTGGACGTCCAAGAAGGGATTGAGATCCGTTAGGACCCCCACGTTGTTCACCAGGACCCCAATGTCCAAGCCTGTAAGCTTCTCTTTCATCCCTTCGTAGATATCCAGTTTCGTGAAGTCAGCTTGAATGATGCAGGTCTCGACACCGAAGTCCTTATCTGAGGAAGTAATTCTATAGCTTGAAGCAGAACACCATTTGAGCCTTGAGCGTTAGGACAAAATGCGGCATTTCAGAAGAAACGAATTGAAGCAAAAATGCTCACATGTTTGCATGACATTGTAACCAGCATGGCATCTTGTCGGATAACGATTACTTGTCCACAATATTTTGTTTAACTTGTTGGTTTCTTACTACTTGCACCTTGAGTGAAATTATTTACATATTTATTTGTAAATATATGCATAACGAATGGAGACAAAACGCACTACCGTTCTATTAGGTTGTTGCAAAAGTCCTGTCGGTATTGACAACTTTATTTTCTCAACTTTAGAGCTTTGTAACAAGCGAGGCCTAATCGGAGATAATTTTGCGTCTATTAATGCATGTAAGTTGACAAATTCCAATCCCTTAATACGGAAGGACACATACGAACATACATACATTTTCTTGCCCGCTTTTCCTAACTTAATGGGGTCGCGGTTNGGAAGTGGAAGAGAATGCAGTGACGGAGATGGATCTGCGTTGGCGTGAATTTCTCAGAGGCCATGAGAGATGATGGGATGAGTGAGATACAACAGACTGTCCTTATATACCCATACCTACCACCCACTCGCCAGGAATTGTCAAAGCCTGGAAGTCTTATTAGAACATGTTACATTCAACACCGACAGGACTTTTGCAACAACCTAATATATGGGAGAGAGATGGCTCCCTATAAGCAAGCAAAAAATGATGAGCTAGATGAACGAATGACATATAGAGTCAGAACCTTGGTGTTTGGCCGGTCTCCAGTTGTTGGCTAGTGAGGCTTAAATCCTGCATAATTAGTTAATGTGGCCGTTTTCAAGCATTCTATCAAAATCTTCTCGTACTAGAACCTATTACTAGGGTTTCCCGGTGTCCCCACTTTACAGCTAAGGCTCAGAGCACTTATCTGAAAGAATTAAAGCAGATAATAAAGGCAGATGTATGCAATCTCATAGGAGACTTTACAGAGAATTACTCCTTTACTGTCCAAGATGCTGCTTGAAGATTTCACTGGGAGAACACTCAGGCCACTCTCCATCCTGTTGTGCCTTGTTACAGTTCTTCAGCCCAGGATAACTGGTTGCTGTATACAAGCATGTACATTATAAGTGGTTTACGAAAGCACACAACATCTACTGTCTACATCTATCAGAAATATGTGCTACCTCACCTCCAGGAGATCTTGCTAAAATTGAATAAGATCCATTATTTCTCAGATGGCTGTTCCGGTCAGTATAAGAACCGGTACAACTTCATTAACCTATGTTACCATCAGGAAGACTTCAACTTCCCAAGCAGCATGTTTATGTTAATTTTACGGAAACTGTTTGTAAATTTTTTTGTCCATTTTATATATATTTTATGCAAACCATCATCAAGATAATGTCAGTATGTTTGCAGAAATGTCACCCCTGGAATACGTAAACGATTATATAAAATTTACATAAATTTTACGCAAAATTAACATTCCCGTTTATATCCACAACAGCATGTTTACATTCACTGTTCGTAAAATTGATGTTGATTTTCCCATAACATTCATGCGTCTTTAACGAGCTAATTCGTACTTTTGAAAGGAATCCATACACTGTATTTCTCCCATTCCTTTTCATACTGTGGAACTCAAGGTTATTTGGACGAGTACACGAATACATAAGTACTCACCCTCATCAGCACTCAAGAGTACCATGATGCCTCACTAGTTTCTCCTCCCGTAACAGGACCTCGGGAGAAGATTCTTTTACCATTAAGGATAGAAAAGGGATAGCACTTGTGGAGCGGGGATTCTACTCTTCACTGCTGTAATAATAAGCTTAACTTCAGCATTTAATGATTCCCTGATGCATATATTATTTAAAAATATGTAATAATTTCCTGCTTTCCATATATATATTCATGGATTACATAAGAAAAAGTGGAAGGATGGTAAGAAAACCTGATACTATAGAAGGAAAGCCAGTACTTAATAGCGTTTGTAGGGTGCAGGGAACAAGGGTCCCATCTAGTGAGGAATCTTGGTATTGCAACTGCGGGATGGTCAGCTAAAGTTTCATATGGAAAGTGTGATGTTAACTTTGCATAAACTTGATATCATGTACTTCACGTCAGATGAAGTGACGTCTAGTTTACGTAAAATAACACGTACAATTTGGTGACGTAAATATAGGAACGTAAATTTTACGTATACGTGATGTCATTTTCATGGCAATCGCAAGAAGTTTACATTTTTTGCAAGAAATTGATATCATGCTTACGTAAACATGCTGCTTGGGTTGGAATGCGAGTGGAATTTCTTTGCCACAGCCCATGGCAAGAGTCCCTGTGATAGGATTGGAGGGACAGTGAAGCGGCTTACAGCTGAAGTAAGTCTTCAGAGTTCAATTGATGTACAGATTCTGACACCCAGAGACATTTTTAAATTCTGTTCAGAGTCCCTTCAAGGTAAGCTGTGCCAAAACAACACTTGAGGAATATATACTTTTGCTCGAAGTCTATGGTATCCAAGATAATAAAAAGCATAAAATAGTAGAATGTAATGAATAAGTTATAAATTTTCTTGGCAGAAGCACAATATGCATGATTTCTGCTTTACTGGATTTTAGTAATCAAGTTCTTCTTCATCACAGAAGAGGAAATTGTTGCATCAGAGAAGCTGCTTGAAAAAAGATTCTCTCAGGCAAGGACTGTTCCTAATACACAGAATATTCATAAGGTCATCCCTTTAAGCCAAAAATGACTCCAAGCTTTTGCTCTGTCCCAAAGCAAGGACTCGAAAATTGTGAAAATCTCCGGGACTGGTTAGGACAACAAGGAAAGTGATGAAGAAGAGATCTTGGACAAAGATCTATGCTGGGAGATCTTTCCTGGGGCCACTTTCCTTGCCTGCATATACGATGAGAGGTGGTGGGTAGGGCTTGTGCACGATAAATCAGAGGAACATAGTGCTATTCTGCTCAACTTCATGCATTCAAGTGGTGAAGCAAATAATTATTTTTGGTCCGAAGAATAAGACACCAGCTGGAGGCATTAGACCCACATCCTCTGCATTGTCTCTGCACCTTCTCTCACATCATCAAATAGGGGATACTCTTTCCCAAAAAGTGAACAAAAAATATAGCCTTGCACAGCAAGAAGTGGAAGAAGTGAACAGTGGCTAGTCGTGCTTCAACATTTGCTTGCTGACAGAGTGAAATTAGAGATTGCTCCCATGAGATGATGTGAGACTGGAATTCTACATGTGCGAAAAACTTTGAAACTTTTTTAATTGAAAACAAAAATATTACATCCATTAAATTTTTACAATCTATAGGTACTAAACTGATCTTTGACCTGGTACTTCTTTCAACTTTTTATCCGGAGTCCAACATGACCTTATTCAAGGTCAAAGGTTACAATCAAAGGTCAATGCATTCAGACTTGCGCAAAATTCCAATTTACCCCAATTTTTAAAACTTTCTTGAAATTTGCAAACAAATGATACCTGAATATAGTCTATAGTCTCAAATAGCTCCCAAGTTATGGGTCTTTGAAGTGAGATCATCAGGTCGCAACCTGAAATTTGACATAACTGTAACTTTTGAACCTTACGCCCAATTGGACTAAAATTTGACACATGAAGGTTTTGAGCCATGGACGTTATGTGTACCAAATTAGAGCCATATCTGAGGGGTGCCATGTTAAAATGACTGTTTCATTGGATGAGTTGACCCTTTCCTGAAAAATGGTTCATAGGTTCGTCACGAAACTTAGTATAGGAATAGGTGAGTGTTCTATTAAGTCAGACGCTGCACACCTCCGTACCATAATGAATATTTTCACGACTGCCGAACAACTGCCAAAAGCATTCACGAAAAGGTGAACTTGAAAGAAATGTTCCCATCGCTTTGGCGTGCAAGTAATGGGGCGCAACTTCAGCCCTCGTCATGGAGAATTTCTTAATTTTGGCAACGATGAAAGTTCCATGGAGATCCGTCAAGCGGTTCGAATCCTTTGATCCCTTCAAATGTTGCACATTGGAGCTAGAGTCATCCGCTTTCATCAGAAAGGATATTCCGATACGGGATTTACGTGAAACTATTGATCTAGGTATCGACACAATTGGAAGACTCTGCTCTAACAGAATTACGAAGAAATTTTTGTTGCGTTCTTTCAGAAGCGAGTTATTCCATGGGAATTCACAGTAATAGCAATTTCAGGGATTATTTTGAGTACATTTTCATGAAATTCTTGAAAATGCTCAGTAAAAATAACGAAATTTCGCCTGATACTCACCCAGACGACGGTCTAACTTTGGCAGTTATCGTTGGGCGAAATGAATCTGCCACTGGACAGGCAGCCTGATAAGCAAATTTGAAGTTTGAACTTCTTCCAATAAATCGCATGTTCCACCTCTGACCTATGGTAAAAAAGACCGTATTCAAATGTTGGCTTCAAATCAAAGAGCAATGTCTCAGCGTACTCCTTTCAAGTGAAGGGTTTTGGAGTTGGGCGAATTTTGTATAACCCAGTAAATGGCCATCTGGCGGTAGCTTCAAGAACGAACTTCAGCGAAATTGTTGGTCGGAGGTCACTGTGAGACTCATCTATCCACTCCTCTTGAGACCCCAAACAATAATTATGAGACAAATTTCAAATTCCAGACCCTCGATTTTTTTAGTTCCTTCCTACTTTAAACTCCCGTATTTCCGTCGATCGCTTATCTAACCCATACATTTTGCTCCCTTAACTAAGATGTGTTCCACCATAGAAAATGATAGTGTTTTATTTTTCACCCACCCAATACAAATGAAAGTCTGGAAGTAAATTCCTGAACACTACGAATATAGGAGCAAGAAAAATAACGACTTCCATGTCGAAAACTTTCGCCAAAACATTGGGAGAGCATAAAATCTTAAACTTAAATCTTACCTATAACCTCAGCCACTGCCTGAAGCTTCTCAGGATTCCTGCTGATCAAAACGATTTTCATCCCGTGCCGGGCCAACTGCAATAAAGTACAAAGAAAACATTCTGCTTTTTATTATTAAGAATGGTGCTGTGGATGTTCGGATTTGGTGTTGAGGACCTCACCTCCCTGGCGTAACTCAGCCCGATCCCGTCCGTACATCCTGTCACAACTGAAGGCATTAAGAACCGTCACAATATCAATTTAAATAATTTTGGAATAGGATGTAAGGTTTTAGGCGGATATAATTAATACTCTATGCTGAATAGTCCTGTGTAGAGGCTGAATACAATAGTAACCACGATTTATTTATTTATTTACGTATTTTCTGGTGGAAATAGAAGACTTCAGCAGCCATTCAGTAACGACCGTGACATTGGAGAAGGCTGACAATAGAAAGGCTTTTAAGAGAGCTTCTGCGTCTGACAGTGGTGGGTACGCAGGTCGTTAAGTGATTCCACAAATGGTAGCACGAAATCCCCTCTTTCATGAGAGCATAGTTTATAGATAGTACAGTCTTTCACCTCCGCATGCCTGGCAGTAGTGGAGCTAGCCTTGCAGAAATACTTTATCAGTGAGTGTTGGGATCTCTCGGTAGGCTCGGTAAAGGTCACGCATCCGTCTCATTCAAAATGAACATGTGGCATTTCTTTCTAGATATCTACTCGTAACGGGACAGGTTTTTTCCATCTTGGATGGTTGAGTTGCGGGTTATGGTTCTTTTTCTCCGTGGGCAATTAGCAGGAACGCCTCATCGTATTCTGAAGAATCAGGTTTTTTTGTACTTACATAAAATGTGACCTTTAAAGAGAATTCCTATTACATCGTTATGAAAAGGCTTTCAATTATTGTTGACTGGTGGGATGTCAAAGAACTGGGATTGTTCCAGAACTGCCAAAATCTTCCGAGAATGCTCCTAAATACAGTTCATATCAGGGACACGAAGTAAGTTCGCTTCACGGAGATCAGCGACTTTGAAAAAGGTCATAATTTGTCTCCGATGAAATTCAAAGAAAGCCAAAGGAAACTTCAGCTTCAACATTGAAAACAAATCTGACAAGTCATTACAGAGGCGAAGATCTCGAATTCCAATTCTATGGGCTTACATTAATGCACAGTGGACCCAAATGAATGAATAAAGGCTCTTGACAACTTTGGTCCTTTCTACTTGGAGTGTCCACTATAGCCCTTTTCCCTATTGCTTCATATCTTCCAATCAAATGTAGTTTGGATGGATTCTTTCTCACCTGCCCAGGCGCCATATGAGGTGAAAGGAGGGTAAGAGGCGAAAGCATGGATGAAGAGCCGCCGCATCAGGTGGAAGAGCCGGACGCCTCCCCAAGCGAGCGCTGAAAACGTGACTAATCCCGAAACCATCGCCCAACAACAACATCCACCTTCCATTTCCGAATGATTTTCCTTTTTTTTTATCTAGGGCACGGCATAGAAATTTCTTGAAGGAGCATCACTCGTGCAGTCTTAGGTGTGAAAAAATTTCATTTCCTGAACAATAAAATACAATACTCTGGGGAATATCGAACCACCATACATGCCGATGATGTGGAAACAGTCCGCGCAAGGTTACGGGGTTAATATGATAGATGAAAGTACACAAGACTCTCATAGCAAATGTTTCTTTAAGACTATCTTTAACACGTTGGCGACAATGCGTCCTGATGCCAGGATGCATTTTTTTTTCAATGAATACCCTCTGGAACTGTTGAGAACGTTCCATACGCTCGACCTCGACACGTGATATCGAAATGGGCGAATTCGCCTCTTGATATCAATAACTATCTTGAATCTTGAATCTTGAATGTTTCTCCATGATACCCAGTCAGCAATTTATCCCCGCGCCAAGTGAGGCTTATCTTCGAGCTTCGCGAGTTACAAGCTTGGACCTATTAAATCGCCCCACACATGCATCCATAGTAGAGATGAGCGGGCCGCCCGGTCCGTTGGATGGGCTCGGGTCGACTTGGTGAAGAGGTCGTGTGAGCCGGGCCGGGCCGGGCCGGGCCGGGGCCCGTCCACGCGGAAGTACTTCTTTTCCTCCGCCTCAAGTCCATGAGATGGATATAAGCGGGTCGTCTAGGGGGGGCCGCAACGCTCGCGGTGCGACTCAGTAGAGAGGTCGTGCGGGCCGGGTCCGGGCTTTGGCCCGTATTTGTTTTCTCCCTCTCAAGCCCGTGGGTAAAAATGAATTTAAAATATATATACCGGTATAGGGTAAACAGGGGAATAGTGGACCACCCGACCCAAGTAACACAGCATGTTGATGAAACGTTTCCGAAATGTTTCCTATGTTGTTCTATGTTGCAAGTTGCTGTACAAAATTGAGAAAACATTACTTCAATGTTTTCACTTGGAATGTTGCTGCGACACTTCTACGAATGTCATTGCAGCATTAGCTATCAACATTGAGAGAATGTTGACACTCTTGACATCGACAACGTAGCGACAACATTCTGATACAACATGGACTTGGAAGTTTTAGAGAATTGTAAAGTTGTCCTCCTTGCCACGAGATGGAGACGTAAGTCTCGCTTTCTCACAGTACACAAAAGTGCCTTTCTCCCTTTCCCTGGAATAGTCCCGCACTGGAAAGTCTAGTACCTTGCCAAATGTCTCGCATTGTCTCATTATAGGAATCAATGAACACGGACACATCATCACTTGTTATCCTCATATTCCAGACAGATTAATGGGGTCAAAATAAAATAAGCTCATGTTCCCAAAAAGAACCCTTTCATCCTACAGGACGATAAAACGATGGTAGAGAGTTTGTGATCTCAATCCTTCATATTCTCATTCGGGCTACCAGCTGAGGAAACGAAGGATCGATCTCGTGGACACTCCATAGAACAGAATGTGTCCAGGACTTCCTCAATTAGACTAAGGCAATGTGCGAGCGTTACTTGTACATGATATTCGTATGCAATAGATGAAAAAAAAAATGTTTTACGAGTCAGGACGTGAGATTTACTACAAACGAGGAACCCCGGCAGCTCTTGATAATTTCCCGACCGAAAGACTGAAACTGTTTCTTGTGTGAACCTTACGTGCTTAGATGTTTATCCATTCATGTACGTTTTCACGGGCAAGACAGGCTTCACGAGGACGGGGTTTAAATGGCCATGCTATCATCTAAAATACGAGGGTCAGTCCAATGAAAATGAGAAAATCGCGATATAAAATCATTCCCTATTGATGGTCGTCCAATACTTTCAGTCATGTTTGCAGATTGCGCGGATATCTGTCATAGCCGGCAACACTATGCGATCAGAAAGAACGGCACAATCGCTTAAGCAACATGGCACTCAAACTGCTAAAGGTGTGTCACCCATCGAAATCCATTCTCAAATGAGCGCCGTTTACAACAGGTTTTTACCACGGCAGCGCACGTGCAAGCGGCGCAAGCGTTTCCGAAGCGATCGCGAGAGTTTGAAGGATGGCTCACGCCCAGGTCGGGTCGACGATGTCGCCACAGAAATGATCACAAAAGTGGACGAACTCATACGGAGCAACAGAAACGTTTCACTGGATGAATTGACTGCAAATTTGAGAATCAGTCGTAGCTCAATTCACACCATAATCTGCGTCCAGCATAGCATAGCGTCGACGCACGGACGATGAAGTGTAGGCGGCTGTCACATGGCAGTTCAAAGAGCAACCTCAGGAATTTTATGAGGCTGGTATACCAGCTTCATACATAATATTGTGTATATATACACAATATTACAAAGCGTCTGGAATCTGCAGATTCCAAACGCTTTGTAATATTGTGAGGCACATGTGCCTCAATAATAGCGGGGAAAACTTTGAGAAATAATACACTCACTGCAAGAAAAATAATAATTCTCATTTCATTTGACTGACACATGTACCTAATATTCATACAGGCCAAAAAAAAATGTTGAACACAACCTGGAATACTCACTGGAAGACGAGAATCTCGGAGGACTGCAGAACTCGTTCGTTGTTCGAAGGAGAATGAAGAAGAGAGCGGCTCTGAGATATTCGAGGAGAAGACGCAAAACTATGTGGAGGTCGGGAAGAGACTTCTGGATGGCATGCAAGACTGGTTCCCCAAGGAAAGATCACGGAGGGAAAGATAGACTACTCCGCAGAAAACGTACGTGACATCTCTATCATCCTGTCCAGACAGGGCCGACAAATGGCATAATATATAAAACCATGCACATGAGACTGCTGCGAAGGCGGCCGAGGCACACGGGCCGATGAGCGAACAAGAGAGACACCATCACCTTCAAGAAGCACTGCACCGCGCACCATGGTTAAGAAGCGCGATCTTAAAACTAGGGCGATCGCGAAGACTGCAAGTTGTGACGAGTTGAAGCGGTCAACTTGTCACTGAGGCAATTGTATTGACATTACCGGAAACGAGCGTGGTTTATTGCTCTTCGGACAAATTCTCTACGGACGCACATTCGGCACCCTACAATCTAAGAAAATTACTAATACATTTGAAGCTTCCGTTTTCGATACTCACACCTACCAATATGGTGAAACACCTTGGGTCATTTGTATATTTTATCCTGACCTCAAGTTACCTCTGGTCATCCTTCCATCACCTCTATGCGCTCGTTTGCTTCTTCTTAAAGCATCTTATATCTTACATCTCAGAGTCCTTTAAGTCTTGCAATCTGCTGGCAAAAGTTACTCGGGCTTGCATGGAATCATGAGCAGGAGGATGCAAGTGATCATGTCGGCGAAGGTGAAGGAAAGTGCGAATGCTGAACCATGTCACGGATCTAATACGTTTACCTAGCTTTCACAGCAGGAGGAAGCCCACCTACATTGAGTACTACGATGAAAAAATGCATTTAAGACCCGTCTCAGCGATCCACGAGAGCGGTTAATAAGGATAAATGAAAAGGAACACGCCACAATTTTCGCTGACACTCATCGGTCTCGGACGAAAGCCACCCCGCTTTCCGGGAACCGACCGCACGCGCCGGAATCAAACCCAAAAGTGTGTTTTAAAGATTTCTCAGGGATCTCACCACAATAGTGTAGACGGAAAATGAACCTCAGACCCCATCGATCTTATTTCCATCCGTTCCCACCAAGTCCCCGCACATTCGACACCGGTATCAAGCCACGGAAGGTTCACCGAGGCCGGCACCCAGTACCCGCGCGGGCGAAAGGTAAGCCGTTTCATCCCTTCAAATCTGTATATCGGATGCTCCACATCCGATTAATTCGGGAAACTACGGACAACGCGACCCGTACTGCCGTCACATATCGCATTTTCACCTAATACAGTGAAACACCGTCAACACGATCTTCGAGGGGGGAGGGGGGGGGGGAGGGGGGGGGGGGAGGGCGATCGCCAATTCAAATTACGTTTCGTGCGAAAAGAAACCAGCAAGAATGTCTCAGTTTCGACGTAGACACGTGACTGGACATCCTTTTTTCCCTGAATCAAAGGATTCGGCTTAAAAAGAGAGAAAAAAAAAAACGAATTCCTCCTCGCTCTGCCGGTTCATCGCCCAGAGATCGGCTATTTGTCCCGTGTTTTGGGATTATATCATTGTTCGACTTTGAAAATCAATTTAGAAAAATTAGTCACATGAAACCTTTTGAAAAGGAAGTGTAAAGTTGCTCGGGTCGAACCGACCCGTTACGTCGACCGAAAAGCAAGAAGTCCCTTAATACCTGCGTCTACCCGGAAGACGAGCCTTTCCTTTTGCGTTCTTCCACTTCCAGAGGAATTCAATCGAAGGAACTCGGGGAAAGGAGTGACGAGGCTCGGTTGGAATCCCGTCGATGTCGGCCTCAATTTCTTCGTGCATTCGCCGACCATGCCGACGATAGCGAACGGTATGGAATCGGCGACGTGCAATAGAGAGTGGGTCTTCAGCAGACGATGGAAAAACTGCTCGATAGAAACAAAGGCAAACGTGAACATATTTCACAAAACTCAACGATTTCTGCCAGGTCTCTCCTAAGATCACGTTAAAACGGGGACAAGACAGCCTTGAAGAACGATATCATCACCAGATGAGGATCACGAATGAGGGCCACGAGTGAGAGTGAAGGGTTTCCCCGGAGTGGAGGGGCATCCCCCGAATGGATGGAGAAAAACGAGGCCGCCTGCCTCGACCTTAGTAAACGAGGCCCGTTTTGGCCCTCCAGCTCTCCCTCCTCCGTGTAACTCACCTATACTGACGGCAGCCGTACATGCTGATGGTCAACCGTGCTAGGAAGGCCCGAAGTAACCAGTCCCGTTTCTCTATCCGATCGAGTTGGATTTTTTCGAGCGGATTTTCGTCGGATGCGTTCTCTTGTGTGAAAAAGATTCCATTCATGGCAGTATGGAGGCCGAAAACGGAAAGCCAGGCCGCGCTCGGACCGAACACGGCGCCCTGTGGAGCTGTCGTCGCTGCCTGATGTCTCTATACCTTGAGCGGGTGAACTGCCGTCGGTCGGATTCGAACCTGGACCTGCCGAAAGCTGGCTCGAGACACGAACTCCTGGGTCAATGTGACCCCTGAATCGTCTGTGTGGAATGATCGTGTACCGCATGAAGAGTACTAGGGACTTATTTCAGTGCGACCATGCGACCGCGGCTCGTCCCCGCCGCAGTCTCGCAGGGATCGTCGTGCAGTCCGCGAGGTGTCGCTCGGGGAACCGCCCAGTGGCCCTGCGGCCTGCGGAGGCCTCGCAGTCTTCATTCGATCTTCGGAGCGGCGGGTCGCGCATGCCATCCTCGTGTCTCGCTCGACCTTGACATTGGTTGCGTCTCGCACTCGAAGCAATCATCCCCAAGCAGCTCGCTCTCTCTCCGGTTCACTTTCGCTCACTCTCCCCCTCGCTCACTTTCGCTCTCCCTCTCGCTCGACAGGTTCTACGGTTTTCCCTGATTCGCGACTTTGCGTGCGTGCTCCAGATTGCCCTCAAAATTTTATTTTTAAATATGGCAGCATGACCGATCCAAAACCGATTTTTTTTTTTACTGTATTTCTCCAGACTTTTAAGTCCAGTCTGAACAAAGCCGCTCTTGCCCGCGACAACTCACGCGAATGGCTAAACATTGAATGGCTGAATCTTCAGCCGGAAAATCATCAATAGCTGCTGGGTCTCCCCGTTCAGAGTAAGTCCCCAATCCAGGCTCGTGAACGACACCCTTCGTGTCGTCGATGCGAACGCAAATGGTCGAAAGCGCTCGCACATTGTTTTCGGCTGATTGCAAAAGTCGTGGTCCCGTCCGAGCCCACTGTTTCATTTCCGTTGGCCCACTCTTTGACCCTCCTCGCAGCCTCGACACCTCTGAACTCAAATCGCTCTCCGAACGGATCAATTTGAATCTGATCTGACTCGCCGTTTTCGCGAGCATCTTGCCATGAGCGTGATTTATTTTTGCTCGATATTGACGATCGTGAAGCAAAGATGCTGTATCCAGCTTCTTCCAAGTCGAAGATTCCACTTTCGTAAACGGGCCAGCGTAGTTGTAAATAGGTAGACGACGCCTCTTGGACACGATCGTCAAATTTGAAATTATCAGTAAATGTTCCTCTACCTCGAAAGATGAGTTACTTTAGGTCAAAATGCATGGAGAGCAATTACCCAAAATCTTTAGTTCAGTCCTTTTCCTGGTTTTCAGACCGGTCAAAGGAGTAACCATTCCTCATTTCAGGGAATAGATGGATATTTTCAATTTAACTAACCTTCCCAGGCAGCGTACCCCGTTGGGCCCATGTTGGAAAGCTTGGGCCGATTCAAACCACTTCGGCCCATCGGAGCCACTTAGCTCAGTGATCGGAGCTCGTGCCGAAGCAATATGTCCTAGGGGCCGGCTCGCCATCTAACTCATTCACTCCAACAAACAGGGTTCCTTGGAAATTATGCGAGATGGCGCTCAGCACGTTGGTTCCCGACTGCATCGCCGGTCCTACATTTTGCATGTTAAAAATTCAGTTCGACAGGCAACGTTTTAAGTAGCTCACGAAGCGAGTGTTCAGGTACCGCTGAAATAAGTCCCTAGTACTCTTCATGCGATACACGATCATTTCACACAGACGATTCAGGGGTCACATTGACCCAGGAGTTCGTGTCTCGAGCCAGCTTTCGGCAGGTCCAGGTTCGAATCCGACCGATGGCAGTTCACCCGCTCAAGGTATAGAGACATCAGGCAGCGACGACAGCTCCACAAGGCGGAAGTTCGGTCCCCGAGAGACACCGGTGAGCATGAAGGTCAGTCCAGAGGTTCAAAGGTCAGTCGCTCGTTCCACTCTCGAGTCCTTGCGATCTTGCTTTCTGTGTTCGATGATATTTTATGGCGATGTAGGTCTTGCCTGAGTTTGTCTTCCATTCATATAAAGATCTGAAACCGCTGACATGCTTCCTGCAGACCTCAGCTGAGGCGCTTCCATCGACGAACGATAGTTCGTATTTCCTAGACCTTCGTATTTCCTAGACCTTCGTATTTCCTAGACTTCGTATTCCACTGACTCTCCCGTTCTTGGATGGATTCTACGAGGCGCATTTCCCTTCTCTTTTTCCCGGCGCTTCTTCCTCCCTCTGCGGAAACGCGCGACCGTGAAAACGACGAGTGAAATCGCCGATCATACAATCGGATCAAGTTCAGAAACGAGTGAAACCAATAGGACAGCAACCCATTCCGATTGCTCTCTGCAGTTCATCTTTTTCTTATCGATTCGGTGACACGATCGAAGCTGGGACGCCTTCACGACGGCAGCAGAAGAGTTTCCTTCAATCTCTGAGACCTTCAATGTCTCTGAGAGTTGCCCATAATTGCTATTTAAAAATTGCCGTGGCCGAGTAATTGCTGTTTCATGTCATCGAGCGCGACGGAGGAGCTATGAATTTCCCATATTCATCGTCGTCGTTCCTTCACGTCTCCATGGAGATATGCCGAAGAATCCCAAGTTTTACCCGAGAAAAATCCGGATTCCCCTCTGCTTCCTTTCGAGTGTTCCAGCCATCTTTCCTTTCTTCTTTTGGAGGAGAAGCTCTCGAATTCCCTTCTTTCACTCCGGGCATCTTCATCTTCCTCGCCCTGCGAATCTCTTCCAATTTTCACATCTGAAGCCTTCTACCATCTCGTTTCTGATACGATCGACCTCGAGCAAGAGAACGACCTCATGCGACAGTTATCGATACCAGGTCGTCCTTCGTAAAACTACAAAAACAAAAAATCCGCATCCCATCGACATCGCATCAACGGCAGCACATTAGCCTCCTCCGACCCTGCATCCTCCCAAATGACACTCTTGTGTCTCGTGCACACCTCACAGCAGAACCCAGGCGCGTGCTGGGCCCGAGGAGGTCAAAGGAGAGAGCACACGTCCATGCACGCCGTCGAACGGAGACAATCTGGAGGGAGAGTGCGGCGCGTCTGCACGACCTTCATCGCGGCTCTCGTCCCATTTGCGTTGGGTCTGCTGGTCTGTCGGGGGAGGGAAGACCGACCGATCGCCTTCCGATGGAGGGTCACGGTGGAGTTCAATTCGCTTCCCGCGTTTGTCGACTCGGATTCCTGGATCGTTCGTGTTTCCGGTCTTTTGAATATAAATAATTTATTCACATACGATGATGACTCGTGGTTATCACATTCACGATATATATAGAGAAAATTAAATGAGACACCCGCGAGCGAGAAATGGATGCAAATGCATGAAAATGGCAAGAATGGGAGTCGTCCGTCCACTCACTATTACGATTCTCTTCGATGACGAAAATCGACGGACTGTCATCGAGGGGAACTGCGTGTTACAACAAATGGGCATTCGAATATTTCTCCCACATAACGGACGACTGGTATTAGACTAGACGAAACAGAAATGCCGCTCAAGAACGAATATGGGTGGAAAGTACTGGCGGAATACCGATGAACAGCCGTGGGACAATCTCAGGAAGGGTTGGCACAAGAAGGGATTATCGGCTAAAGGGAACAATACGTTGAACTGAGGTAACCCCAGGAAAATCAATTTCTGGACAACGAATCATCACTGCCGATTATTTCTCCACTATGCTAACGATGACCCCATTAACGTCCAAGCCATACTAAATTGTTCACAAATTAAATTGAAGAAAACTGATGCGCAGCTTCTGGAACACGCGAATCCTTCGGACAAGACCGAACTGCCGAGGACTCGTTTCATTTCTTCTTGCTTTCGGCCAATCTCTGTTTGGCCATCTCCCTCGTCAGATTCCATCCGGCCAGGTTTGTCGTCACTGTGGGCGCGACGTAATCGAAGAACTTGCCGGCCTCTCTCTGGGAAAAAAAAAATAAAATAAAATTCCAGCTCACCTCTAAATATTTTCAATATTTTACTGATGTTATTAAGGCATGAAAGAACTTTTCAAATACTTCGGGCAATGACCCCTTTCAGAACCTTTCAGAACGAGAATTGAAAGAATGCCACAACGAAGACTTTTCACCTCAAAGCTTCCGGAAGCTACAGATCCGACTTTTGATAATATATAATTGGAGCAAAGTGCTAGAGTATAGGCCTGCATCATTTCGCACTATCACGACCCATGCACATGTCGACGTTCCGACATGGAAGATTGACACGTTTTGAGCCTTCCCAGGCAGCTAATTCAGTTATTGATTTCTTGTTGGCGGTATGTTCATTGTCAAATGAAGGGTGAGTTTTTCGTCGCCATTGAAGCCATTCTTGACTGGGAAAGATCTCGTCAGTGTTTGTCGCATTGAGTTCATGTTCCACTACAACCTAATGTGGACCTTGATGGAGAGACTTCAATCTGACAGGCTATTGTTACAAAGGCCATACAACTGGCAGCAAATTGATGTAACATCCACGTGTGCATTGTGGGTATATCCACATTAAATTCATATTCCTTCGATATGAATGTCCTCATGAAAATTTTCCCTTGGATTCTTATAGAAACCAATAGGAGTCCTAGAGGAACGATAGGATTCAGATAGGAAATATTTTATCCGAATAGAGAACACTTAAGATCTATGGGGTCAATATAACTTGGAATGTAACTTGTAACTTATGTAATTTGCTTTTAGTGAAGGGATTCCTTAGAAATCTCAAAGCAAACGACAGGTTTACCTCGAGGTATCCATACTTATGCTCCCAGCTGATCGTTTAGTGCGGTAGGTGACTTTTCTAAATTATATTGTGCGCATCGCCATAAAAATGGAAACACCAAGAAGGAGCTGAGCGATCTAGGGCCATTGTTGAGCATATGGCCATTGTTGAGCATCTAACATCGAAGCCGGGCCAAGATGAAGTCTTCGAAGGCAATCTCACCAACGCATTTGTGCGTTCGACCGACAAACATCAGTTAGAATTTCCACACAAGAATGACAATAAGCTTGCTTCACCAACGAGCTAACACGTATCCAATGAGCTAATCGACGGGAATCCGGAGCATCAAATGCTACCCTTCTGGTAATTATTTCCACACCTGAAACCTTCTACCCTTTTCCCGTTTCTAATATCATCGGCAGTTTTTTGAACAAAAATTGCCTCATGAGACAGTTTTACCATCTAATCATTCTTAGAAAGACTTCAACTAATGAATTCACATTCACATTCGATCAAATATATCTCTAAGAACTGCTGCCAACACATTAAAAGAACGAGCACAAATCCCACGAGACACTTGCAAAGGAACGAATGGAATCCGAACGGCTTAGCGCTGCGCCTCTGCATCGCATCCACTCAGCGACTGGAAGCAATTCCGTCTCGAAGTGTTTCATTTGGATGCACTGGGCGCGTCATCTCGATGCATCGTGGCTGAGGCGGAGTCGAGTTCGCCTTTTGTCGGCCGCGCGGACGTCTGGTTCATTCCGATTTATTTATCTTTAGGATGTAAAAAAGGCATGCAGACACAACGGCGACTTATATTTCCCACATTTATATCAGATAAATAAATTCAACGAGGCACCTGTATGCGAGAAATGGGAATTCACACATATGGAAACAGTAAAGAAAGTAGTAGTCTGTCTACTCGAAGTTACGAAAATTAACGAAATTATCATTTATATTTATCCTTTATCCTTTTCGAAAATGGCCGACCCCCTTTTGTCTCTTATCATAGAGAACCAGTGGGAAAAACTCGAAAGAAAAAATGTTCCCATTGGAATGGATAGTTAGATATAGGAAATAACTTGTGGTAATACCTGGACATTGAATCTCTGGGAAAGGACTGATACCCCCACGAATTGTTTCTCACTGTGCGAACCGGGATCCCACTATCCAACCTGCCCGGAAACGCGAAATTCACAAGCAAAGCCGATTGCAAAATGCTGAACATGCGAATCCTTCGAAAGGAACTGAGGACTTGTATCATTTTTGCTTGCTTTCTGCCAATCTCTGTTTGGCCATCTCCGCTGTCAAAGTCCGTCCAATCTGATCGGTTGCCACTGTGGGTGCGACGTAATTCAAGAAGCTGACGAACTCTCTCTGGAAAAGAAAGTTTCGAATCCAGTACGCCTCAAAATATTGTATATATATAACAGCTTCTCAGAGAGAGGAAATATATCTCCGTTCACGAGCGCATTTGTTCTCTCTTCTGATTTCGTTTCTTTTCTCGATTGAGGAGAGAAGATAAGCTCTTCCCAACTTATCTTGATCGTTTTGGAGGAACAAAATTCGTTTCCACGTCATAGCCAGAGCTTTGAAGAATTTCGCCAAATGATCCGATTTCTTTAAAGGGCTAAAATAAGATAGGGTCATTTGTAGTTTCAAATCTCACCATGAGGTTATGAAACCAATATCCGGAGGTAACTTGGATTTTGGTGACGGAACGAAGATCGGATCGGACGAAGGTATCCGGCGTCGGTGCTGTCAAACTGGGTCCATCCAGCAATTTATCTGTCATCTTCGTGAACACGTACCTGCACGAAAAATAATAAAATTCCAAAGAACTTCTTCCCGGGTGCAGTTCGAGGAGCATATGTCAGGAAGGAATTGAACATCGACGTATTTGTGCGTCCGTGAATGAAGAAAGCTCACCCAGGGCCGACGAGGTGGACGTGAATCCCTTTGTCTTTGTACTCGTAGGCAAGACTCCGAGAAAAGCTGTCCACAAACGCCTAGAAGAAAGAAGAAACAAGTCATAGCTTTCCTGCATGATTGTACCTTGAAACTTTAAAAAAGCGTATTCAAAGAAAGCGTATTATTTAATGTAACGTAGGGAACACGGACTCGAATCCCTGTCGAGCCATCAACTTAGGGTAGCTAATCAAAAGGCTAGGTTCTGCATTTTCTTTCCTTTTACAGTATTGGTGTTGGTAGGATGTTCTGAAGGTTACAGAACCTCGTAAGCACCTCGGCGGCTGAATTTTGCCTACTTTGGGTCTAAATTCGAAAAGAGTGTATATATAAAAACAGTTCACTGAATCATCTCTCTTAGGGTATGTGGCTGAGGTCATCAATGAAAAAAGTGTTGCTCTCATAAATCTAGGGTATTCAATTAACCAAACTCAGGAGACCCGTCGAAATACTAAATTTCCACTTACAATACATATTAAATGAAAATATATTGTCTAGCCAGAGGAAATATTAAAGGCGTGTCCTTCATTATTATGTGAGAATTAGCTTAATTAATGCGTATTTAAAAAAACGCATAATTCTCTTCGATTAGTAGGGCCATCAAGATTTGCCATCCTCAGCACGCGCACCAAGCCGAACACTGTTTAAAAAATTGTCAGGAATATACCTTCGTTGCGGCGTAGGTTCCCATGAATGGAATAGGAGAGATGGCAGAAATGGAGGACACATTGATGACAATCCCCTTTCCCTTCTCAACCATCCCAGGAAGGATCATGTGGGTCATCCGGATCATGGACAGGTTGTTGACGAGGAGCATGTCCTGAAACGCCTTCTCTCCCTCCGGGACGTCCAAGAAGGGGTGGAGATCCGTTATCATCCCCACGTTGTTCACCAGGACCCCGATGTCCAGGCCTGCCAGCTTCTCTTTCATCCCGTCGTAGATGTCCAGCTTCGTGAAGTCGGCCTGAATGATGCAGGTCTCGACACCGAAGTCCTTATCTGATGAGGGATTTCCAGAGCTTGAAGCAGAACAGCATTTGAGGCTTGTGCGTTAGGACAAAATGCGACATTACAGAAGAAACGAATGAAAGCCAATATGCTCACGTGTTTAAATGACCAGCATGGCTTCTAGTCGGATAACTATTACATGTCCACAATCTTTTGTGTAACTTCTATGTTCCTCATGTTACTTGAAAGAAATTATTTAGATATTAATATATGGGGTGAATGAAGAAAAAACGCACTACCGTTCTCTATGGGAAAGATGGCTTCCTATAAGCGAGCGAAAAATTATTAGCTAGATGAACGATCGACATGTAATTCATAAAAGGTGTAGAATTGCATCTCAAGGTTTTTTCAATACCCTTCTATGATTCATACACCAATGTTCCGTTAAACAATTTACAGGTGGATCAATTAACTCCAATCGGTGAAATGTAAGATCATCAAACAAAAGTTTAATTATCATGTTTCCATATTTTTCATTTTCCTTTTTCTAGCTCAAGTTTTGAGCCATCAACCAACTTTCTAGGGCAGGGGTGTCAAACTGCCAGTTAATTTTGTCCGGCCCGCGAAGTCCTCTTCAACAAAAAGAGTTGAAGGAAAAGTACGGCAAACTTCAGCCTTTTTCCATTAAAGATTAGGTTTATGTTTTAATTTTGGCTCCTAATCACCCCTGAAGGCTTCCATCCCGCCCCCAGCTTAATCGAGTTTGACATCCTTGCTCTAGGGCAAATAAAAAGTCAGCATCGGGTAGCGAAGGGCCCTATGTGCCCCGAGGCAAATTTAAACTCCTGTATTTCTGTCTATCGCTTATTTAACTCATACGTTTTGCCTCCTTATACGAAGCTGTAATTCACCCATAGAAAATGGTACTGTATTTTTTTTCCAACCACCCTATGCAACGAAAGTCTGGAAGTGAATTGCTGGAAACTACGGAAACGGGAGACAATAATGACTTCGATGCCGGAAACTAAACTCACACCAACACATTAGGAACGCACCAATCTTAAAAATAAATCTTACCTATAACCTCAGCCACTGCCTGAAGCTTCTCAGGATTCCTGCTGATCAAAACGATTTTCATCCCGTGTCGGGCCAACTACAATAAAATACAGAGAGAACATGCCTCTATTTCTTATCAATAATGGTGCTGTGGTTGTTGAGGACCTCACCTCCTTGGCGTAACTCAGCCCGATCCCGTCCGTGCATCCCGTCACCACTGAAGGCATAAAGAACCGTCACAATATCAGTTGAACAATCTTGAAATATGATTTAAAGTTTTAGATGAATACAATCAATATTCTATGCTGAGTGGCCCTGTGGAGAGACTGAATATAATAGCAGCCACGACTGGTTTATTGATTTATGCATTTTCTGGTGAGACTGGAAGACTCCAGCAGCCACTCAGTAACGACTGTGACATTGGAGAAGGCTGACAATAGAAAGATTTATATGAGACCTTCTGCGCCTGTGCAAATGGGAGCACAAAATCCCCTCTTCCATGGGAGCATGGTTCAGAGATACTTTCACCTTCTCATGGCTGGCAGTAGTGGAACTAGCCTTGCAGAGATACCTTATCAGTTAGTGCTGGGATCTCTCGGTATGCTCGGTAAAGGTCACGCATCCGTCCCATTCAAAATGAACATGTGGCATTTCTTTCTAGATATCTACTCGTAACGGGACAGTTTCTTTTCTATCTTGGCTGGCTGTGTTGCAGGTTATGGTTCTTTTTCTCCATGGGCAATTAGGAGGAACGCCTCATCGTATTCAGAAAAATCCGTTTTTTTTCGTTATAACATTAAATTCCAACTTTGAAGAGAATTTCTATTCTATCGTTATGAAAAGGCTTTAAATTATTGCAGACTGGTGGGATGTCAAAGAACCGGGATTGTTCCAGACCTCCCTTACGGAAATATCACATGCCGTGTCACATGTGAGAGGCATGTGAGAGGCATGTGACCTACCATGTGATTTTCCGTCTGGGTTAGTACTTGGAATGCCGCTTCCACGACCGCCGACACCCTTACTTCCACGAACGGCGAACTGTGAAACCTGTCTCAGAAGTCCTCTCGGGAATGCCGATTACTCTCTTCCTTCTGAATTTTTTTTTGTCCGTATTCGCGCCCTTGATTTCATGACCAATGCGTTTCATTTCGACTACTCTACCACCACTCTACCGTCCCCACACGCAGGAAGGTACATTTTAACACTCGAAGTTTCGATTCTTTAGTCTCCCCATCCTCGACCAAAGCCTCCAGAAATGCCGAACAATGACTAATTTCAGTTACATCTTGATGACTATAAAGGTTTAAAGGCGTAATGGAAGCGTTTGCTTACTTTCCTTAGTCGACATATTTCTAAAAGGTATTATGTTCTTGGGTGTTGTTGAGATATCAAATGATGGTTCTGTCGGGAAAATAATATTTAAAAATGCATACAATTATAGATACCTCCAAGGAAGTTCCTTGACAGCGGTCCATATAACTCCAGGAACGTTCATAGCGATATCCTCCACCCTTCATTTGTTTAAAATATTCATTACCGCCACAGATAACCATGAACGGATATAGAGAAAGCGCCCCGTGAGACCGAGTTACATGGGCGCACTGGGTCACACTTTCCCAAAATCACATGGTTGCTCACACGGGTGATTTTTCCGTAAGGGTTGCCAAAATTTTCCGAGAATGTTCCTAAAATATCATGGACACGAAGCTAGTTCCCTTCACAGAGATCATGACTTAGAGAAAGGTCATTATTTGCCCTAAACAAAATTCAAGGAAAGCCAAAATAAATGTCAGCTTCACCTTCAAAAACAAATCTAACAAATCATGACAATGGCGAAGATCTTGATCTCCAATTCTACGGGTTTACACTAATACACAATCTACCCAAATGAATGAATAAAGGCTCTTTCTTGACATCTTTGTTCCTTGAGTGTCCACTATAGCCGTTTTCTCGATTGCTCCATTTCTTCCAATTTGATATTGGATAAATTCGTTCTCACCTGCCCAGGCGCCATATGAGGTGAAAGGAGGGCAGGGGGCAAAGGCGTGGATGTAGAGCCGTCGTATCAGGTGGAAGAGCTGGACGCCTGCCCAAGAGAGCGCTGAGAACGTGATCAACCGCGAAACCATCGCCCAACAACAACATCCACCTTCCATTTCGAATGATTTTCCTTTTGCTATCTAGGGCAAGGAAATTTCTCCATGAAACATCAGTCGTGCAGTCTTAGGTGTGAAGAATATCCTGTTTTCTGAACAATAAAATACCCCAGGTAGCCAAATCGATAAGGGCCAGTTATGGCCCTAATACGGCATACTTGGCGAATCTCTGGCATTGGCATCCACATTTGGGCCATTCATGGGAAAAGTCTGGCAACCCGAAGTACATCAC